GCCTCCACACCCGCGGCGGGACGGAGACCCTTGTAAAGGCTGGCACGTGACCTCCCAGATTCTGGGAGGTAAATCAAATTATACTGAGAGAGGGGTGGTTGAGGAGCGGGTTTGTAAATTTCTCATATTTGGGGAATATGAGAAATTTACAGACCCGCTCCTCAACCACCCCTCCCTCAGTATAATTTGATTTACCTCCCAGAATCTGGGAGGTCACGTGACCAGCCTTTACAAGGGTCTACGTCCCGCCGTGGGTGTGGAGGCTCTTGCTTGCGAGGTTGCACGAAAGCATCAATGCATCCAGACATGCGCAGAGTGTATAAATGGGCAATGGCCATGCAGAGTGTTGAACTTCATACAACCACAAGGGGAGTGAGCTTTGCATTATCGCTAATATTCACCCATTAACAACTCTGCAGAGTGCTCAACAACACCGAAATAAAGGAGCATATATATATACTTATTTAAGACTTGAGCTCATACACCCTTACAAAAATTTCCTAGAGGAAAAATTCCTATAGGAATTCCTAATAGGAATTTTGATTTCCTATAGGAAATTTTCGTAAGGGTAAACTAATACTTTAATAAAAGATTTATGGTATGATATTAAGGATTTTAGTCTATAGGCAACATGATATATTTGAAGCTTATTTTCCAAAGGAAAAGCTTGTGCAGTACATGACTGAATCAAACTATAAAAGTTGTTGTTGTTGATATTTTAATAAAAAATATATAAAGCAGAAAATATAAGATTTCAGATTCTATATATACCTCAAGGTACATACCTTTTGCGATTAAAACATTGATTAAAGTTGCAGAGAAATCATACATGGTCTTTATATCAATATTACAGTCGATTTCACAAAACTTTTGCCAAAATTTTCCGAATTTCGTTTCGAATTTGCGAAGTTGGCACTTGGGAAGGTCAGAAGTTCATATTTCACAAGCCGATCTTATATGATTGGCTTCCTTTTTTTAGCGACCAATCAGTGGTTTTGTTTACAAAACCGGCTTGTGTGAAATATGAATTTCTGACCTTCCCAATTTCGCAACGAAATTCGCCAAATTCGAAACAAAGTTCGGAAAATTTTGGCAAAATTTTTGTGAAATCGACTGTAAGTTGTAAGAATGTTTGAAAATTACACAAATTGTCACTAAGCGAGTTGTTATATCAATATCACGAATACGAAATAAACACGCAACTAGACCCAGACCTCTCACGGTGCCATGACGTCACGTCAAAACAATTAAAATTCGTCAAAACAAACCACATGTTCGTACAAATTTGTGGACAAACGTGGCACAGTTCTGCACTATTTTATATATATTTTCGGCATCTTTGGTCATATAAAGTCAATAAACAAGGTACGGGCAGTACTACCAGCTACTATAGCATGCTGCAGCTATAAAAGCCGAAGAAAGCAGTCTATTATTAAACGATTTGTAGTAGCCTCGGAGCCATGTTTTAGAGGCAGCTAGAAATATCCACAAACAGAAAAGTTATGAAATTCTCGCCTGGCAATTTTATAGGAACATTTGGCAGACAGCAAAGAAACGTCAACCTTCGACTGTTGTGGAGAAACGTCAACCTTCGACTGTGTTTGTACTGTAAGCTAATTCATATCAATTTTCATTGCAGTATTTCGCGATCGAAGACTCGAAGTATGTTCGCCATGTCATATATATGCACGCTGGCTTCAAATCATTTCTATTTAGTAAGATTGTCTACCGTTAGACAATATACAGATTGGAGTAGGATGCATTATATATATATCTGTATATAATTATGTATATTATTTTAGGAAACATATGGCACAAGCGAATACAAGTGAATCAACCAATGCAGCTCATCATGATCAATTTGCTAGTCCTCATGAGTTTCATAGTCCTGAGCAGTTTGACGCTCTTAAGAAAGAATATACCAGAGTGAGTATAAACAGGGTCTTAGGTAGGATTTTAGATTTTGGGAGTGTTTCTAAATTTCCAGCATACCTGCCAATTACCCAGAATAGCCAAAGATGTAATTATACAGTCCATTTATGCTTGCCAACAATAATAGATTATGCCTGTGGTTGTTCTATGCTTTACAACCAAATTCAAGGTCAGCATGTGCTCATATTTCGCACTGATATTAAAGTCAGTTACTGTAGCAAGTCTTTGGTCATTGAAAGTAGCCAGTCGGCCATGTTAAGTTTGTTTGAAAGGTCTTCGATCAATCCGAGCTTTTAATGAAAGTCTAGAGCACATGTCTTCCATGACATTTGGTGTCTTAATGTTTGTTGGAAAAACAAAACAATTAAAGAATGTACATTAAATATTAACTAGAATGTTTCTGGTTTTAATAAAACAGAAATGAATAGTTCATATTCTGGTATTGGTGGGTAAAATACCAGCGGTGGAGGGGGTGTTGAGTTCCTTTCCTGTTTGGGTGGCACTTATCACAGGAAAAAATTTTAAATTTCCATTAATGGATTTTGGAATGGTTTTTAAAGATTTAACATTATCATAGATGTACCGTGTATATTATGAATGTAAAAACTGATTTCTTACCATTCTTGCATGTTATTATCGATTTCCTATATTGTAAATTGGTACCATGATAAGCTTTTGTTGGTAGGGATGTAACTACCTGATAAATACAAAGCAAAATTTGACATTTCGAGTGCCCTTTGTCAGGAAGTTAGAAGTTAAGTTGATACTAACTTCCCAACAAAGGGCCTTCGCTTGAAATGTGGAATTTCACTTTGCATTTTTCAGGCCGTTGCATTCTACCAACGAAAGCTTGTTATTGTTGCCACTATCTACAATACAGACCATTCAAGATTATGAAAACCATGATGTTTAATATTTACAATTAAGGGGCTGACTACATGGTGCAAGTCCCGCCTAGCCAAGTTGGCCCAGCTAAGGGAGTTGACTTTCAAATTACGATTACATGTATCGGGTTCACCCGACTAATTGGGGTCAAGCAAGCTCATTAATTAAGATTGAAAATGCTGAACAGTAGAAAAATTGTTGTTAAGTATTGATTAAAGATGGTTTACAGTATATGTTGTATTTTAGGGTTTCCTCACACACAGAACAGTGTTGATTGCAGTATTGGTCCAGACACAATTCTTTCGCTTGTATTCTCATAAAATGCAGTTGCTTCACTGTCCTAAAGCCAAAAGCGTTTATTGAAACACAAAACAGCAGTCTGATGCTAGTTTGAAATTTTAAACATATATATAATTTTATATTATTTTGTTTACATTCTCGAAACTATAAAACTGTGCATGTGTGATTTTTCAGCGCTTTACCGAGACAACTCAACAAAATGCTATCACATGGGGAAAATGCAAATTTTTCAACTCAGCCAACCAAGTTGTCTCGGTGCGAACAAGCGAGGTCCTGGCCAGGTGAGTTGGCCTGTTACCCATGTAATTGCATTATTGTTTTTAGTAGTATTTGCTGTAGAAGCCACAGTATCTGTGAAATTGTCTCACCTTGGCTAGCTGGGACAACTCGGCTCTTGTAATCAGCCCCTGAAGGTATTTTTCTGGTAAATATTAAACAACATGGTTTTTACTAATTTCTTTGTGCAATATAACAAACAGTCTTACACTTTGAGCAGATCTTCACAGTAGTAGTAAATTGTCTTTTCCCACAACTAGCACATGACTGGGACTCTTCTGTTTTGGACTACTTCTTGTCGCTTGCACCCTCTGGCATAATGCTCACCCGAACCTCAAATATAGCAATGATAGCAGTCATTTTTTCCTTGTTCTTGACGCGATGCACAAGCAGGTCTCCCTGGATGTCTTTTGCTGCTGTAGTCATTTGTCGCAAATCTAATGCTCTTACAAGGAAGGAAATCTTGTGCAGTTTAGTTCCTGTTATAACTCAGTTGCACTTTTTTGCTTATAATGTGCTTTTGACACTTGTAATAACAGTTCCAATTATTCGATTGTTGCAACATATGTTGAAGTTTCAAAGTTGAACTTATTGCACATACGGCCGCTTTAATAATCTCATTTTGAGGGTATCCTTTTACTTTCCCAGCATCAATTTGTCATGTTAACTGGCTGTCTGGCAAATGACAGTCTATTTTTTTTGCTATCAGGGCCAATTATACCAATTTACAATTATTTTAAACTCTTTTGTCTATAAACAGTAAAATTGCCTTGTTTCACTTCAAGAATTACCCATATTTTCTTTGCTATTTGTGTCGTATTGAAGTTCTAATGTGGGGCTCATCATTTAACAAACTGTTTGTTTACATCCGTTAAGTACTTCATTTTAGCAGTGGTAGAGAGGTTCAGGACGCCACGGTCGGCGCTCTACGTATCAATGCTTCCATACCATTTTCGGTTTTCCATATAAATTTCAACAACTCTAATTTCCTTTTGTTGACAAAGACTTGTCTGACTTTTGTGATAGTTGTAGATGAAGTCTTTCCATGGCATAGTTAATATGGTGTTCTATGTTAATTAACTATAGTCTTTCTCAGAAGAATATTCCAAAGTAAGCATATGACACGTGTTTATTCACTCAGCTGCGGTTATTGACATTCTCTTCAGGTTGCAAAAACCGTATCTTATGATCTACGTGTTGCGATTTTCCTGACAAAAATACAAATATTTTAAGACCTAGCTCGTTTTATGCCATTCACTATAGTGTAATTATACAGTGAACGTCTTTCAGAAATTGGGGAAGTATACACGCTTATTTTGCGATACACAGCGAAAAATAACTTTGCCGACAGCTTTAAGACAATGTGGCGCAGTAAGAATTCACGCCTTGGTCGTGTAGTTTCTACGATTTTTCCTGACTTCATATTATGCGCTAAAAACTTAAAAATAGTTTTGTCAAATGCGCAATAAGCCAATAGTCTGAAGATGGATGTCTTTTATAATCAGATTTATTTCGTAAAAAGAGACTGAGTAATTATACATTTTGTATGTGGGGCACCCGATCGATATGCGGATTCAAATCTGAATATGAATGTGTATCTGTAAATGAACCTGAAACTGTAGAACCGATCGTACTACTTCCGTAGTTGAAAACGAAAGTAGCTTTCCTTCCATCTCCAGCTGTAATTCTTCAAAATCCTTCTGTTGAGCCATCTTACCACAATATTATTGATACATATCGACTTCAGTTTTGTACAAATTCAAATTCGCCGATTCACTTCTTGGTAGCATATAGTATGTAATGAAAATATCTCTCCGATGCCGATGGCTCCAAAGTGTTCGTCCCAATTCACGAAATAAACACTCGTAATATGTCAAACGATTTAAAAAAGCAGTTGCATTACGTAAATAGATTATAAGTTGGTTTGAAAGGTCTTCTATCGATCCGATCTTTTCTCTTCTCTAATTTTCTTGTATTAACGGAAACACAGAAGAGGGAACTTGATTCGCGAGCACATGGCTCCACGCGTGTCCCGTGGACTGAATCACGTAAATATCTGCCGGCTACGTAAATATGAGCTCGTCCTGCAAGGTTGAAGGTTTATTATTTGTTGTTGGATTAATAGCTGTAACACGTTGGGATTTGTTATGGGACCTCTATCCATGATGTGAAACTTTTGTGTTTTTGAAATGCTTTGAGTAGAAGTGTTCACTCATGATTGTATGGTGGTTTGTATGATATCAAAATTTACGGCGGCGTTTGGCAATTGCCGATGTGATAACGAAAATAATACCTCATCGCGTCCGCACGTTTAATTGCTGTCGTGGATTTTCTTAACACCAAGCAGTTTTACTTTTATGTGATTATTCTTCATGTAACTTTCTTCCGTTCTTTCAATTCCAGTTCGTTTGCGATTTGCCTCAATTGCTGGTTGCAGAAGGTAGTTTGTAGAAATATTTAGTGTAATGCTCGCCTGGTGTGTAAGTTATTGCCTATTCTGTATTTTCGTTTGTTCCTAGTGGCAGTAGTGCGGTATGCTTCAATAGAGTTAAATAGGCAAATGTCGTAAAAACTAACCTCTGTACAAATATTGAAAATGCAGAATAGGCAGTAACGCCAGTAACTGAAATCAAGCCAAGATTACACTAAATACTTCGACACAGACTTTGTTTTGCTGCTTTTGCAGCCAACGAATGGTCGTGTTATATTATTAACTGTTTACTGTTTAAGACATATTTCAAGTTTCAACCGGTTCAACGTGATGTGTAAGTTACGAAGGGCATGACTCTCTATTAAACTTTGTCTTTAAGAATGAAGCGATCGTGATTTATAGATGTAAACGTCTCAAACATTTGAAATTTCTGCAAATATATACTCCCATCGTTACATTTTAGCGTTATTTCAACAAAATCATCAAACAACCAACATGCAGTAACTCAAAAAATGTAATTCCTGAGCTGTGAAAGATTTTGTAACGTGAGCCACGGTGAGTCATGATTTTATCGTGCAATGTGCCAGTGTTATGGAAATGGCTTATTAATTCGGTAACAGTTCGGAAGCTTCTCATATTACTCAGGCTAAGCACACTTGAACCTCTTGCTTGTTCGATTTGGCGCGAAGTTTGGTAAATGTGCTGCAAGCAACTTATTGTCAAGTTTTTGGAGGTTGAGACAATATTGTCGACGCAACCTGGTTGAAGAAAGATTGTGAGCATAGATTGATCAGAAAACAACTGTTACAGCGCGATCGTGCGAGCTTTGGAAGCTCTGATTTCAGATTTCCCAAGTAGAGTAGGTACAATATATTCTTGAGGGAGAATATATTATACAAACGAAGCTGAGTGTACTCAATCGTGAGGGATTAATACGTCATATTAACTTTGTGTATTCGTTTCTGCTATGTTGCAGTTTAGTTGGCAGATTTGATGTCAAATGAAACTCTTCGGACTTATTGCTCTTATAATACTATTGTTTGTGGAAACACCACGTAAATTTAATTTAATTTACGTGGTGTTTCCACAAACAATAGTATCATATGTTTTATCGCCATGCAAACTTACAAAGAACTTATTAATTGCTCTTGTTCAATTTTTATTAATATGTCTGCGCGCCATGAATTTTTTAGACATATCTACAATATGCACGTAAATTTATTTATACTATATTGTGTATATGTGTATACTATATATATATGTTAACATGTACTAGGTAGTGGTTATACATATAATTTACGTTGCTAGTATGTATAATCAATTGAACAATCAACTTTGTATATAAGATTATATAGACTATAGTTATTAATTAATTGTTTTGTTTTGAAAGTTTTGAACTGCCACTGAAAAACTATAAATAGTTAATCCTAATCTAGGGGGCTCAATAAAAAGCCTGTCAAGGTTTCTAGTAGACAGTGCTTTCAAAATCGCCTGCCCGACGTCCCGGGGCAACCAAAAATTTGTGTCGGGCAACTAAAATCTCTTGACTAATGTCCCGACGGGCAACCACATTTTAGTGTTTTGATCGTTTTAAATTTTGTGTATTTAATGTCTTGTTGTCTCGTTATCAAGTGTTAATAAAGCTGTGTCAAAAGATAGCCATTTACCTTTTTTATGATGTCAGAATACTGATTTGGTATTTCAGTAAAATTGTCCAGAATATTTATATGCATGATTGCGAGTTTTTTGCAAGGAGTAAATAAGCGCCCACGCTGATTCGCCTCAAAGATTATTAATTCGGAGAACTGATTTAAATTATCGAGAACTGATTTAAATTATTTTATTCAAATGTTTTGAATGGTAAAAATTACGTTTATTGGCTATACAGACTAGAATAACATTCACAAAACTGACTAAAAATTTATGTAAAACAAAACAATTTTAACATTTTAACATTTAACAATTGTAACAAAAATCATTTGATTCCTTTGATCAGCATTAAATCAGTCATTCTTTTATAACTAGTCTAAATGGCGAGGATTTGTTCCGGCAAAAACTCATTTAGAATAAAAAAACCCAGACGCGCGATTTCATACTCTTGAAACAAACGAGACGCCCGTTAAAAGGCGCGTCTCGTTAAAGGCGCCGGAGGTAAGAGTAACTTGTAACACAGTAGCATTTGTAACTTATTAACAGTTAAATAAACACCGGTTTTGTTGTGGTTTATTCAACTCCATTCTTTTACTTTTATCTAATTTAATGTGGGCAAGTGAGAAATGGCCTCGGGCAACCAAATTGTGAGTGTTGCCTGCCCCAAGGGCAACCACTTTCTTCAAAATTTTGCAATCCCTGCTAGTAGGCTCCCAGCCCTTATAATAATATAATATTGTAAATAGCTTAAAAAAACGTATGTTCGATATTGTCCTACAATACTAGTGGCCAGACTTACGGCATCAAGATTGATATCCCCGGAGATGGCAAAATTTTGGATCATGCTGACCGCTAGCACTTGTCAATTAGAATGAGATTTTTCCTTTTATAAGTGCTCGAAATGTGGTTTTTAAAGAACAAGTCAATGTGTCACTTCTTGCCGAAATACGGGTTCGTTTAGGAAACATTTTAGAACGAAATGTAACTGAAATGGTATTTCCTATACGGCCTCCCTATTATTATTATTAAAACCGCCTGCCACGTAGGCTACCATTTTGCTGGATAGCGGATGCTACTGGATAGTAGTCTACTAAATGCTGTATGGTCAAGAATATAGTAATTCAAATTACAGTAATAATTGGAATTACAGTCGAATGCCCACAAACCATACTATAGCCTGAGAACGAGGCTTCGTGCTAAATGGTAATATTTCTATAACAAATTACAGTTCTGTGGCACTAAGCCTTGAATGAATAATAATCTATATATAATAATTATTGTACAAATATAATGCGGTCCATAAGTTAAATAAATTAGATATGTTTTTATCAGTATAATCATAAATATCAATTGGATATGTTTTTATATAATCAAACGTTGTTGGGACACAATTGCAGTTCTAGATCGTAAGTCGATCTCTTGAGTCAATCTATGCAGTTTGTTACGCCCAACACTCTTCCCCCTCCCCAATCAATGTTGTTTTCTCAATTCAAATACCAAAACACATCAAATCTGACGTGAAAATGGCACATATGACATTGAATAGGGGGCGGGGGGTCGACGTTCAAATTAAAGGGTTTTGTGGCATCTGTCTCAAATCTCTCAAGACATTTGAAACTGGTTGTAGATAGCGGGAATGACGAAAACCAGTTGTTATAGTAAAAATATCAACGACCGATACATGTTAGCTGCGCAAAGTCCTCCCCCCCCCTCATCGCCAAAAAAATTATATGTTTGCAAAATATTTTGAAATTATCCTCCCTGCAAAAATAAAAACTGTTCCACCGCCACTGCATGGTTATCGTTTTATTAATATCAAATACATATGAGGAAAAATCATCTTTGGAATTCTAGTGATGCTTTTTATTTTATTTGTTACAAATGGCCCTGAATGCTTGTTATGAACATGCGCATTGATCTATTTTGTAAGTCTTGGCCGCTATATTTCGAAGGCTAAAAGGGTGGAGGCTTTCCACATCTGGGGGCAATTCCAATGCCCGTGAATGACGTAACATTTGCGCTAACAGTCGGCCCCTGTAATTTTATTTTGTGCGTATAATTCATGCAGACAAATTATTTTTTCTCTTAGCATTATGAAAGATGTAATGCAGTGACTTTAAAGTGCGATATCGGATGTCAAACTGAAGTGTTCAGTGGATCTCCAGAAGACGGAGAATTAGGTGCAACTGCTCTTGAGCCGCCAACACAGGTGAGACCACTGATCTGGTGAAACAGCATTTTTCTAAGCGCTCAATCGGCACAACAATTCTTTACGGCATGAACAAATCTGCAGCATGGCATGCGAGCCAAATAGTCACGATCAGGCAATAGGTGCAGCATGTTCGCGCTTTACAACATCGTTGATGAAATGAGGTTATGCAATAACTAAAAGTAACAGTGCATGCATGCATGCATGCATGCATGAGGCAACTACTAAAAAATATAAAGCAAGTATGAAGTGAAATGAAATGTAGAAGTGCTGTCAATGTCTGCTGTTGTCAGGCATAGATAGATTAGAGCTATAAGTGAGAAAAACGCACGTAATTGCTTTTATATTCACTGGTACAATAGCACATGTGCATGTATTCCCGCCCCACGCTACTAACTTTCAGACTAAGCTGCAATGCCAACGAAGGAAAATCTTCGCTCAAACAAATTCGGCTAGTGGAAAATCGGCTTTACACGTAGGGCCTTCGCTCAAAACGTCGAAGTTTGTTCTATTGTTTAGCTAGTTGCATCGTAAATTCCAGCCCGCAAATGCTTTTCTTCGCTACCCATATGCACTGGCATCCAACATTCAAGATTTTAGCATCTGGGTAACCATGCTACACTATGTCACCATGTTGTCAAGTGGTTGGCATCAGTTTTCGTTGCGTGCAAACTTAGACAATCCTGAAGACCAGAATTGCTTTCGGATTGTCTATGGTGCGAAGCAAACGTTTATAGGAGCAAATCAATTTTTGTCTTCGTGATTCATGTTAAATTATTTTAATTGGTGTGAACATGTTAGTTATTTTCAGGGGTAGTCAGCCCAAGATACCACTTAGCGACCCCTCGGTCATCTGGATTAACACCTCGCCGTTAAAACTAGGATGATGGACTATTAACTTATTATACTTTTTATTTATTAAGGATAAGGAAAATGTTGACATATTGAAGATAGCGTTGGAAAGCAAAGATGCTTTAATATCGGAGTTAGAACAGAAAACGCATAACCTGACGAGAGAGTCTGAGGATATGAAAAAACAAGTGAAAGAAGCCAACGAACGCACAAGGATAGCTGAATTGGAGGGGGAGGAGTCGATACAAATGCGTAACGCATTTTTCCTTCAAACCACTAGACAGAACGACCAACTTCAACAAAATGAAAGTGAAATAAATTGTTTGCGACGTGAAATTGAGGATCTGCATGCCAAAAAAGACATTATGTTCATTTTATGAACAATTCGGTAAGTACAATCATAGTTTGATAGTTAAGATATAAACGTACACTTTATATCAGTAATGGTACATTCATTTTCGGGTCAAATTTTCAATTTCTTTTTTGTGGGTAGCCGCGCATGCGCAGCTAACCACTATGTGAGAGACTGAAGCGCGATCTTCCGTTTCTCTGTGGCTCTGTGGCGCTGTGGCTCTGTGGCGCTGTAGCCTTCG